GAGATCCTGGAGGGCGGAGCTGCTCATTGGTCAGTGTTCTGGTTCAGCGGATGAGATACAATGTAGCGGTGTGGGGGCGGGCTCACCCTCGCAGTGACGGTGCCGTGCTGCTCTCCTTTATTGTTGATCATCCGTATCCCGGCCTTGAGGAAGAGATCCTTCATTTGTTCCGGGGTGGCGGTGGTAGCGAAGTCGATGTCATGCGGCTGGTTACCCAGCAGGAGGTCGCGGACGGCTCCGCCTGCAATGCGCAGCTCGTGTTTCTCCTGAGCGAACAGGCCTGTGACGAAACAAGGATCAGTTACGTTGTCCCTGCATATGGCACCCTTTACAGCATGGGAGGGCAAACTGCGGTCCCCCCCAGCTGTGGTGAAACTACAAATCCCGTCATGCCTGTGAATATCAGTCTTGCAATGCCTCATGGGATTTGTAGTTGCGCCGCAGCTGTAGGGACGGAGTTTGGTGGCCCCTGCACATGGCTTCCTGAAACTGTCACAGCAACCAGCCTCGGTACTCCTCTCAAGGTGCAAATGGGCCCTTATTGTCTATCATTCACCTGTCAGGGTCTGAAGCCCCTCAGTCAAGAGGGCCTGGAACTCTGAGCTCTGCAGCCTCATGGTGGACAGCCTTCTGCAGCTGGTCAGCAGTCTGTTAAGCAGCATGTGTCCTTGGACTCAGCCACACTCATGGGGCCATGGGGTGTCCTCAGGGTGGCAGCTCTGGATATCACCGGTCACACTGTTCACATCCTCCTCAATAGCAGCCTAGCTAACATGTTCCACAGATGTCTCCAGGGTCGGGAGGGTGTTTTCAGCCGGCGGCCATTTTATTGAAGACCAACAGAACGTCTAGGCAGCGGGAAAAGCTCACCAAAAATGGCGCCCGAGTGAGGACAACACATAACGCCTTCATCCCGAGGAGGCGGTTCAACTCCGTCACGTGACTCCGTACGGCGCCATGTTGGAAATGGGATCTGCCAATAGTTCGCGGAGCTGAGTCCTGGCTGTAAAGGAGCCCTGTCACCAGCTTTTCTGTCTGTTCTGTCTTTGTTCATTGGACTTTTCTCTTTGGATTTAATACTTTTCAACAAATAAATATAGGAGCTGCCACATTGCAATTATGGTTTCTTAAAGGTGCAGGCTCCAGGGAAACTCTCATCAAGCATCTCAGGTTAGAACGTTTACGGCATGCCCATTTTTTTGGGCACACCTTCCACAGTACAGGTCCTCTTTTTTGTTTTGTATAGTGTAGGGAAGAGTTAAAACCCCCACCATTTTGTTGTGAGTTGTCACCAGAACAGGAATAGATGAGAATTCTTCCAACGGGGACAGCAGTTCTGCTGACCACCAGGGATTCCCCCTCACTTTGCAGGGATTTCCTATCACTTCCTGTTATGGCTGTGGGGCAGGAAGTGAGTGAGATCTCCCCAGATCAAAAGCAAAAAAGCTGACAAGGGTTATAACCCTCCCTTACCCTATCCAAAACTACAAAAACAGTTCTACTTTAACCCCTTCAGCTCCCCCCTCTAATCAGCAGGGCTTCCACTTACTTTATACGGATTTCCCTTCACTTCCTGTTATGGCTATCAGACAGGAAGTGATGGGAAATATCCCCCAGAGAGGGCAGAAAAACTGACAGGGGTTATAACCCTCCCTTACAAGAAAAAAGTTTTGGCTTCAGTTCTGGGGGAGGGTGTTATAGATCAGCCCTTAATGAGCTCATTATTTTATTTCATTTTTTTGTTTTATTTTATTTTCTATTATTTATTTTGTTTTGCTTTAATTTAATTGCTTTTTGTTAAAAACATTTATTTAATTTTCTATTATTTATTTTCTATTATTTTAGTTCATTTTATTTTCTATTATTTATATTATTTTATTTCATTTTATTTTATATTATTTATTTGA